GAATAGCATGGTTTGGTTACAAATGATATAACATGGATGAAATATCATTGCCGTATACAGAAAGCATTTTTTTGGTTTCTGATAAAACTGATATAATATCCAAAGTATATATTCATGGACATGTCTGCCCATTGCACTTTGTAAATAAGAGTCCAACGCAAGGTAATGTCCACGTTTATTAATTTTCACATCATTGTTGTGAGATTTAAAATTACGCAAGATGCAGGAATGAATAAATTCAACACTTGACCGGAATTTCAATTCCAGAATCCATTATTGTTGATGAGGAAAATACTGCACTGATGTCACTCTCTCGGTTCCCTTAGTCTGAGCATTTTCATTTTTATGAAAGAAAGCATTCACCGAAATAATAACAGTGAATGAATTTCATGATTATACCTTGAACAATTTCTTTCTTATAATTTGAATAAGCGACATAAACCATTACAGCTATGTATTGCTTCCTAACAGTATCAAAGTAAAGTGTTGTAAAAGAAAATCGGCATAAAAATATTTTCAATTTTAAATATGAAATTCCGCAAACTTAATCAGAGAAACTGTATTATGTAGAAATGGAAGAAAAACTGCATAAAAGCATTTTCAATTTTAAATATGAAATTCCGTAAACTCAATCGGAGAAACTGTATTGTAAACCTATTATCAGAATCCATTACAATCCAACGACAGAAGATAACTTATAAATGCTTAATTCAGTTTTTGTTACTTAGCTTTTTCAGCAAAGCCGTACATTATACAACATACTACATACGCAATATATTCCATAACAGATGTCTTTAAAAATGTCACCTAACATTTTACGTAATTGTACGAAGGAACAGATTTTAATGATCTTCACAGCCTACTTGTTGTTGACGTTCTTATCGTTGCCGGTAAGTGGGTGCTGTGAGACAGGGATACACCCCCCGTTGACGTTCGTATCGTTGCCGGTAAGTGGGTGCCGTGAGACAGGGACCCCCCCCCCCCCCCCCCCCCCCCCCCCNATTCCTGTTCCCCAAGGACATGCTCTTTGTTGCGTAATGAATTCCTTCTTTATTTTTTACTAATTTGTGTGACTGTCATTATAAATCAATTTTATTTCTGTTCAGTCCTTGCTGCGACCCTGCCAAGTTTAGGTAATGAGTTCTTTTCACTTTACTGATATATGGAAACAATTGTTTTTTGAAGGTCGTGGATAATTGCAGAAATTCTCTCTTATTTTTACCTTTGATAACTGATGTTATAGGAAAAACATAATCTTAAATCACTCAGTGCTATCAAAATAAATAGTCCTCTATAACAAACTTCTTATATGCAATGAGCTGCTCGGCCTTTAGGAACGACTGAGTCAGCGTTAAATTCAAACCGTTGTTTTATGCACATATATATATCATACGTGTAACCCACACTCGACAATCTCCCCCTCTCAGACCATGTTTATCTAAATAAACCAAGCCTGCCACCCAACCTGAAAACCCATTTTAGGGAGACAGGAGGTGTACCAGCCCAATGCTTCAGGTTTACCTTGCTGGGATTTCTAAACATGGAGTAGTAACACGATCTTCATACATTCAGGAGTTACCGCTATACAAGCTATTATTTCCCTTATTTTACAATGAATTATGCTGAATTTAAACGGTCCGTTCCTGAGCTGACCAAAAGCTAGAATGCCTAACAAACTACCCCCATCACGTCTTACGCTTCCGAAACAATCTCATTGGTTGGCTATAAACCGCACGTGCTTCTCAACCTATACGATTGCCACGTACCCACAGGACAATTATTTCCTGCTATTATACGAATCGCGGGAAATTTAAATTACACATGTGACTTCTTTAGTAAATCTATATATCCTTACACATGAAACAGCCAAAATAAGTAACATCATCATTTTAATGTGAAACCTTGAATTGCAGAACAGAGAGCGTGTGACCTTGTAGAAATTAGAACTGTCACCGGAATGGTTAACAACCCACATAAATAGGGGAGGTAATTCCAATTTATAAACTTTAAACTATAACGCCCCCACTAAAACTAGAACTGTAAGTGTTGTGTGGACCAAATAGTATTAAATTCAGTGCAGTTCTTTTGGAGGAGTAGTTGAATATGTTAAAACAAAGGGGCATAACTCCATAAATTTAGGAGGTAGCTCTAATTTATATACTTTATTCACATCCCTTCAAGAAGGGTCCTGTATACCAAGTATCAATCAAATCGGTGCAGTACTTTAGAGGCATGGTAGTCTAGTGGTAGGACGCCAGGCTCGTGATTGAATGGTTTCAGGTTTTAGTCACGGCACAGCACTGTGTTGTATCTTTGAGCAAGATAATTTACTAGTGGGACAAGTGATGTCACAACAGTTACATCATGGACACACTTATTGAGGGTCAGAAGAAGATTGTTTTTTCTGTTATACAACCAGTTCTACTATCAACACAGACAGAACAAGTATTAACGAGCAAGGTTTTCATGAGCTTCCATTTAAGACAATATGTCGTACAATGAAGGTATACTAAACTGCCGTTGTTAACAGTTAATGTAGGGTACGTTCTACATGGTTGAAATTGATCACTTTTTTATTTATTTGCAAGGTTATTTTTGATGTAAAAGTTCTTTATAATTGAAATTGATTACTTTTTTATTTAATTGCAAGGTTATTTTTGATTTAAAAGTTCTTTATAATTGAAATTGATTACTTTTTTATTTAATTGTAAGGTTACTTTTGATGTAAAAGTTCTTTATAATTGAAATTAATTACTTTTTTGATGTCATTGGAAGGTTATTTTAAATGTAAAAGTTTTTTATGATTGAAATTAATTACTTTTTTGATGTCATTGCAAGGTTATTTTACATGTAAAAGTTTTTTATGATTGAAATTAATTACTTTTTTGATGTCATTGCAAGGTTATTTTTACATGTAAAAGTTTTTTATGATTGAAATAAATTACTTTTTTGATGTCATTGCAGGTTATTTAAAATTTAACGGTTCTCTAGGTAGATATTTACTCTCCTGTCCTCTTGTGAAATAAAACAGCAACATAAGAGGGATGAATGAGAGTTTTCCCTTCGACACCTGTACTCATTGTTAACGATCTTCCTGACAGACCGAAGCTGACTTAGGGAGAGGCTAATGAACCATCCATCATCGTGAAACATCCCTGTGTCGACTCCAAGTCAGCGTTAGCTGGGGAAAACGTATGTCTTGTTCCTTTTCTTCAAATTACTGAGGTAACTGTTCCAGTTAACATGTAGCCATTGTAAACCTCAAAAGCATGTCTTTACTCATTCACCCCTGAAAACACATTTGAACTCTTCCAATTCAAAGGTTGGAATAGTTCAATATGATATTTCAGGGGTAAATTAGTGTTTTTTTTTCTTTTTTCTACTCAGAATTTTGCGATTGTATGAGAAAGTTAGAATTTCGTGAGGCCTGCTGATTATCAGTTTGGAATGGGCTGAGATTTGTACAAGTTAACTGAAGTGTTGTCTGACAAATCTATCCCTGTCTCCCGATTTCTAACATTACTGTATACTAGCTACAATTGTCTTACACAAGTACACTCATTACAGGTTTTTATCAAGAAATGGTGGCGACTGCTTCCAGCAATCCTAACATTCTTTTGCTTCCCTATTCTCTAAAATTGACGTCAAAGAAAATTGGATAAGAAAACGTGAAGAGAGTTGTCATTATGAGTGTTTTTATAAAGAATTGAGGCGACTGCTCCTAGAAATTTCACTGTCTTCTGTGACGGAATAAAATTGATGAGGGGGAGCATGTGCCCAATGTACTGTAAGAACTAGCCTACCAACTACAGGAAAAATATCACTGTTAGCTCTAGTTCACCACATACAATAAACTGTTACCTACTGATAAAATTATTTCACCACCTTTATTATACTATTACTGTTATAATTATTTCACCCCCTGTAATATACTATTAGTGTTAAAACTAGTTCACCTCATACACTAAATTAGTTCACCTCATACACTAAACTGGTTCACCTCATACACTAAACTAGTTCATCTCATACACTAAACTAGTTCACCTCATACACTAAACTAGTTCACCTTATACACTAAACTAGTTCACCTCATACACTAAACTGGTTCATCCATAACTGTTACAGTAAAAACTAGGTCATCAAATTCACTATTACTGCATAGCTGGAAATATTCGCAGGGGATTTGATTTTGCTATATTCGTTGCTCAGTTCGTCATTGAAACGTTAATTGAGTGAGTGACATAACCTTAACACATTCACCTCTGAAATTTCATAATAAACTATTCCAGCCTTTGAATTGGAAGAGTTCAAATGTGTCTTCAAGGGTGAATGAGTTAACCATAGATGTAAGTTTCTAAAAGTTTGTAAACCTGCATCAAAAGGTAAATAATCTTGAAACAAATTTCATTTGATGCTCAGTGAAGTGGAAAATTCAGATCGCTGTGACCTAGTTTCAATGTGTGACAAAACTTCACCCGAAGATGCAACAGCACTTGGAGATTGGTTCACCTTTCAGAAAATAAGAGGGAATTTTGGTCTAGAAACAATCCTCACACCTGACGCAATGTCCCCTCCATCCTCCTCCATTTCTGTGTCGGAACATGTTGATGTGATATGTCTATAGCTACATCTGCTCAGTGTGAGGTAAAGCAACTTTCGGCCCAGGAGTCGTCATATAAAATGATAGGATCTCTCACGTAGGACAATTAGGACAGACGACTCCTATCTTCTCCGCCTCTTCCTTCTCCCTTTCTATCCTTCCTCTACATACTTTTATCCCTTGTATATTCATTTTCTAACCTTTCTTGTCTGCTGAAAGGCTGAAAGGCCATAATAGCGGACATAAAACTGTCAACATCAAACTAAAAACAATTCTGACCAGACCCACCAGAAAATACTGTATATTTACCCGTCCTGTTTCCAGGGAATTGGGAGAGGGTTATGAACATATCTGTGAGATTCACGAAAATGTTATTGTACCCTGAAAGTTTGGTACATACCAGGTTTGTCTGAAGAGGTGGATCATAGCCATGCTCCAGGGCCGCTCTGACAAGGGAGGTAACTGCTTCTGCACCCCAGCATCGCATACCTTGATGGGGATGCTGACATACCTGGTGAAGGAGTAAAACATGATTACAACATCTGTGAGGTAGTTTAGATACCTTATTTTTTGTATATCACTTTAAAACTGGATTTATATCTGCCACATAGTAGTAAATTATGTTAAGAGGATCTGAAAATTTTCAATTTGATAGGAAATGATTTTTAGAAAAATACTTCAAAAGGTTTATTTCACAAAAACAAGGGGTTTGGGGGTTAAGAAACAGCGAAAAATCCTGAATACATCAATTATGAACCCCACACTAATTCCATCGTAGATTGACAGAGCTAAGATTGATACTGTAACTAAATCCTTACCCAATTACTAAATAACAATGCTTACAAATTAGAAATCTTGGAAGCCCCATTATTTTCACTGGTTACATAAACTCTGAGAAAGTTTGATTTCCTTCCTAATTTAAATACATTTATTATCTGTTGAGTTGCCTCTGATGCCTAATGAATCAAGGAGAAAGAGGGCTGGGCAGGTAAATCAAACAGAGTCGTGATGTAGGACGAGATCCCGTGGTGAAATAAAACACATTTACCCTAATGCTATATCAAGCACACACACTGTGTAAATCTTTTATAATGAACACTGAATATCACTTAATACAAAATTTAATGGTTACATTGGAAAGAAGGGAAAATGTTGGTACACCCCGAGGAATTCGTATCTAATGCAGAGGTGGAAATTGTATAATTTCCATTCTGCTCCCTGGGATGTTTTGAAACGCCAAATTGTGCAAGTGCCTACTATGGAATGAGATGGGTTGCTGTAGGTAATGTGATTTCGACATTAACATGCAGCGAAAGATCATTCTCAACAATGTCTCTACATTTAATTACAGCTGTTAATTACAGACACTCTCCTAAAATATGTTTATTCCAGGGAAAGTGAAGAAACCTGAACCCAAAGTTTGGCACGAGAGGCGAAAGTTTATTTCTGTATAATGTCATTATTACTGCTCGGATGCTCGGGGTGTAATGAGAAGAGTATACATGGTAATAATAAAAGAAGATTTAAGATAGAAGATTTAAGATAGAAATAACAGACATGTGTACTTCTATCTTGGTTAATAGGAAATTTACCCCTATCAGATGATGACTTTTTCCCTAGTTGTAGATGCTATTTTCTCATAATTGTTGATGACATTTTACACTAGCTGAGGTTGACATTTTACACTAGCTGAGGTTGACATTTTATTCTTGTTGAGGTTGACATTTTGTTCTAGTTGAGGTTGATATTTTATTCTAGTTGAGGTTGACCTTTTATTCTAGTTGAGGTTGACCTTTTATTCTAGTTGAGGTTGACCTTTTATTCTAGTTGAGGTTGACATTTTATTCTAGTTGAGGTTGACCTTTTATTCTAGTTGAGGATGACATTTTACCCGAGGCAAGGTTGATCTTTTATTCTCGTTGAGGATGACATTTTACCCGAGGTGAGGTTGACCTTTTATTCTAGTTGAGGGTGACATTTTACCCGAGGTGAGGTTGACCTTGTATTCTAGTTGAGGATGACATTTTACCCTAGGTGAGGTTGACATTTTATTATAGTTGAGGATGACATTTTACCCAAGGTGAGGTTGGCCTTTTATTCTAGTTGAGGATGACATTTTACCCGAGGTAAGGTTAACCTTTTATTCTAGTTGAGGATGACATTTTACCCGAGGTGAGGTTAACCTTTTATTCTAGTTGAGGTTGACATTTTACCCAAGGTGAGGTTGACCTTTTATTCTATTCTAGTTGAGGTTGACATTTTACCCGAGGTAAGGTTAACCTTTTATTCTAGTTGAGGATGACATTTTACCCGAGGTGAGGTTGACCTTTTATTCTAGTTGAGGATGACATTTTACCTGAGGTGAGGTTGACCTTTTATTTTAGTTGAGGTGGACATTTTACCCTAGTTTGCTCTCTAGAAGTATCAATCTTAGATGACAATGCTACTAGCGGTAACAGATATGGCTTCAATTTCCTAATGTTACATTTTGCCATCAAAGTTTCATGTCGTTGAATTCAGAACAAATCAGTGGACAATAAAAAGGAGTGAAATAAGTAACATTACAGAATGGCAAAATTAATTTTGGTTTTGGGAAAGTTTTCTCTGAGAAATCATGGCCTGAATCTGTTATCAACACAAAATAAACATGTTTCACAACAATCATCAACAATTAAAGATCCTGTTTTTCATGTGCAATGAACAATTGCAAAGACATGTTAACTTACATAACCTATTGGTAATACAGTGACAAAAATACATACAACACTACAGTCAAGAAATGCCCATCATTTTCATAATTATACACAAAGGTGATACATAAGAAATACTTCAATAATACACTGAACAGGATGGCTAAGTTAGTAAAAACAACAGCATTAACTAGGTATTGTCACGTAACCTGTCAACAGAAGAAAACATAGCTTTAATATAATATATTCAAGCATACAATCAGCCAAGTAATTATCAAAATAATCTGAATCTTTTTCATTAACATAGCATTTCCAAAGATTTATCAAAATAATCTTGAAAAGCATGATCAAGTATCAAAATGTATTTCATAACTATTACATAAATTAACATATTATTTAATTAAATCATTTCCATTGCGAGATTTACCAAGTATAAAAATAAATATGGCACGTTTTGTTAAACAAGACAAACTCCTACCTATGTCCTTTGTCCACGGCATTCCTAGCGGAGAAAGACAGGTATTGTGGGGGACTGATTTGTTGAAGGATTGGTGCTGTCGGAATCCACATTGTTGAAGGATCGGAGTCATGGGTGGCAACTTTCTTGAAGGATCCTTATCAAGTGTAGCCATTGTACCGAAGGATTGGTGTCATGGTTGACCATTATGTTGAAGGATTGGTGTCATGGGTGACCATTATGTTGAAGAACTGGTGTCATGGTTGACCATTATGTTGAAGGATTGGTGTCATGGGTGACCATTATGTTGAAGGACTGGTGTAATGGGTGGCCTGATGTTAAAGGATTGGTGTCATGGGTGACCATTATGTTGAAGGATTGGTATCATGGGAATCCACATTGTTGAAGGATCGGAGTCATGGGTGGCCTGATGTTAAAGGATTGGTATCATGGGTGGCCATTGTGCTGAAGGATCTGTGTCACAAAATGCCATTCAGTACCTAAAAAGTACAAAGTATTTACATGTATTACATTTTAGCAGTGAAATACAGAGACATTTTTTTAACTAGAAATATATACCCTGTGCCCACCAGTTTTCATTGCACAACGATTGTCTATAAATAGTGACGGTATCTCTGTCCTCGGCACCCTGGAACATGAACTCATCCATGGTGTAATTGACCCTTGTATAAAGTCTGATCAAAATCCACCAAACGTTAAGTTGCTAGTCTAAGAACAATGAACTGGTTATCAGTTTTCAGCGAAACGGAATAAGGATGGGATTGGACAGACTGGGAAACACTATTTATGTTCTCCTCTACAACTCATTTATAATTATTTGGGCATAAAATCTGATTTTTCAATGAAGTGTAAAATTAAAAATTCTCAAAGCCACTTTTTTTTAGAAAATGCAGAAAAAGCATAATCGGCAAAAAAACCCAATGGAAATAAATTGAGAATACTGATTTATAATCTGTTAAATAGTAGAAAAAAACAATCGTCAACTTATAAAATCTTTTCATTCTTATATGTATCAATTATATCTTCCTTCTGCAGTTAAGGAAATAGTGCAGAATGAAGGCAAATCAGAAACTAATGCATAAATGTCATTTGTTGAAGATACATATTGCATCTTTATGTCCAGGAAGTCTACATCCTTGGTAATATAGACAGTGTTAAGGAGGTAAATATAGACAGTGTTAAGGGGGTAATATAGACAGTGTTAAGGAGTTAATATAGACAGTGTTAAGGAGGTAATATTGACAGTGTTAAGGAGGTCATATAGACAGTGTTAAGGAGGTAAATATAGACGGTGTTAAGGAGGTAATATAGACAGTGTTAATGAGGTAATATAGACAGTGTTAAGGAGGTAATCTAGACAGTGTTAAGGAGGTAAATATAGACAGGGTTAAGGAGGTAATATAGACAGTGTTAAGTAGGTAATATAGACAGTGTTAAGGAGGTAATATAGAGAGTGTTAAGGAGGTAATATAGACAGTGTTAGGGAGGTAATATAGACAGTGTTAAGGAGGTAGTATAGACAGTGTTAAGGAGGTAATATAGAGAGTGTTAAGGAGGTAATATAGACAGTGTTAATGAGGTAATATAGACAGTGTTAAGGAGGTAATATTGACAGTGTTAAGGAGGTAAATATAGACAGGGTTAAGGAGGTAATATAGACAGTGTTAAGGTGGTAATATAGACAGTGTTAAGGAGGTAAATATAGACAGGGTTAAGGAGGTAATATAGACAGTGTTAAGTAGGTAATATAGACAGTGTTAAGGAGGTAATCTAGACAGTGTTAAGGAGGTAAATATAGACGGTGTTAAGGAGGTAATATAGACAGTGTTAGGGAGGTAATATAGACAGTGTTAAGGAGGTAGTATAGACAGTGTTAAGGAGGTAATATAGAGAGTGTTAAGGAGGTAATATAGACAGTGTTAGGGAGGTAATATAGACAGTGTTAAGGAGGTAGTATAGACAGTGTTAAGGAGGTAATATAGAGAGTGTTAAGGAGGTAATATAGACAGTGTTAATGAGGTAATATAGACAGTGTTAAGGAGGTAAAATAGACAGTGTTAAATAGGTAATATAGACAGTGCTAAGGAGGTAAATATAGACATTGTGAAGGAGGGAATATAGACAGTGTTAAGGAGGTAAATATAGACGGTGTTAAGGAGGTAATATAGACAGTGTTAAGTAGGTAATATAGACAGTGTTAAGGAGGTAAAATAGACAGTGTTAAATAGGTAATATAGACAGTGCTAAGGAGGTAAATATAGACATTGTGAAGGAGGTAATATAAACAGTGTTAAGGAGGTAATATAGACAGTGTGAAGGAGGTAATATAGACAGTGTTAAGGA